GATGAGTCGGTGAGTTCTTGCATTTTCTTTTCACAGGTCTTGAGTTGTTTAATAATAGTTCTTTGGTTTTTCCTTTAATTACCATTTCATCTTCGAGTTCTGAGATTCTGTCTTGTTTGTTCTATTCTGCTGGATTGGCCTTCCGTTTTGTTTGCAATTCTGTTTCGTTCTTTTTTCTGAGGTTTTCCATATCCTGGGTGGTTTCCTCTTTAATGTTGTCTATTTTTGTCCTGAGTTCATTTATCTTTTTATCGTGTTTCTCTGTTTCACTTTGGTGTTTATACAGTGCTTCTATGGTTTCCTTTATTTCTTCTTTTGCTTTTTCAATTCTTATTTTTTTGTCTTGGAATTTCTTGAGTGTTCCTGTAACATTTTGGTTGACCTATCCAGTATCATCTCTATAAATTCTCATTGAGTACCTGTAGTATGTCTTCTTTTAATTATTCTTGTGGCTTCATTGGTTCTTTGGCATAGTTTATCTTTCATTTTGTTGGAGTCTGGATCTGAGTATCTGTTTTCTTCATTCCTCTGGTTCCTGTACTAATTTTTTGCTGTGGGGAAACTGGTTTCCCTGTTTTTTTCTGTCTTCCCATCATTGTCCTGGTTTGTTATTGTCCTGTACTGTGTGCAATTAAGTATTTTCTGGCTTGTAATAATAAACTAGTAATATTTTAGAATGGAAGGGTGAGAGGGGATGGAAGCAAGAAGTTAAAGAAAAGGGAAAAACAAATCAAGTAGAAAAAAAAACAAACAAAGAAAAAAAAAGTTTCAAAGATATAAACAGGGAGTGATAGTGTACTAATCCGTAAGCTGAAAAGCTTAGAGAGACAGGAGGATTGAAAATAAAAGGCAAAAAGAGTAAGATAAGAATAAAATAGAAAAGTAAAGTAAATGGAAAGAAATATATATATATAAAATAATAAAAGTAAATAACACTAAAACTAAAACCTGCAAGTTCATTGCAATGGAATTTCATTTAATAATTTTGGTGTTCATCCTCAGCCTGCAATCCTGGACATGGTGCCTCAACTGTTGCTCTGTAGTTGTCTCATCAAAGGTGACATATAAAGTAGAACAAAACTGCACAAAAATAAAAAACAACCCACCAAGTGTCCCAAGTTCAATGCAAAACAGTTTCAGTAAGTTTTTCAGCATGCGGGTGTAGTTGGTTTTTTTCTCATCAAAGGATGAGAGAAAAAAAAGAGTCTGGAGACAGTCTGTGAATGGTATCTGCGGCTGTGGCTTGCCTGCCCACTGCTGTCAACCTGCTGTTGCTGGAGGTGTTATTTATGCAGATCTCTGGGTGAGCTTAGCACTCACCTGGCCCTGCAGGCTTTGTTTACTCAGAGTCCTGTGCAGGATCCGCTGCTGCAAGCTTTCCCCTTTCCAAGCACATTGAGGGAGTTGACACTGCACCTGCTTTCTCAGGCCTGCGTGTTTATTTACGGTCATGTGGGAAGTGGGTCTTCCCCTCTTCTGTGGAGTTTTCCTCCACTGCCACTTTTACAAGCTTTCCCGCTCCTGATTGCTGGGCGTGTGCTGCTGCTCCTGCAGGCAGGTGTGTTTGTTTACAGCTCACATGGGAGGTGGGTCTTCCCCTCTCTCCTGTGGAGTTTTCCTCCCTCTGTCACTCTCACAAGCTTTCCTGCTCCTGGTTGCTGGGCACGCAGCCCTGCTCCCAGAAGCCTCTCTGGCCAGGCCTGGCTTGTTTATTTACAGTTCCGGGAAGGATTCCCCTCCCACCTCTTCAGAGCTCAGGGTGCCCCACCCTCTTTGCCATATGTCTCTATTGTTCTTAATGCTTATTACTCAGTTTCTCTCTTTTCCCGGGTAGGGTTCGGTCTGTCCAGGGGGCTGTGCTGATCTGACCCAGGGTTGTCTGTGGAAGTACCGCATACCGCTTAGCTCACCTTGTCCACGTCTTCCCAAGCTGTCTGGGTGTGGGCGACTGGCGGCCCCAGGGCCCTCCTGGTTTCTCCCTTTAACTGAAGTGGAGATGCTCTGCACAGACTGGAGGTGTGGAGGGGTCAAAGTTTTGCCTCTTCTAGTTGTCCTCGCCTGCAAGGTGTGTCTCCAGCGTTTCTCCAAGATTTCTTTGTCAGAGGCACACTTTCTGCTTCCTCCCTCTTGCTGCCACCTTGGAATCTGACATTTTGATTTTTTAAAACAAATTTTTTTTTTAGCAATAGGCTCTCACCCAGGTTGACCTGTAGCTTGCGATTTTCCTGCTTCAGCCTCCTGAGTACTAGGACTGTAGATGTGCACCACCACGTCTGGCTCTGGCTTTGTAAATTTTTTGATTGGAGAAACTGGGTTTATGTTCTACAGATGTTTCTCACAATCCGTATTTTTTTTTTTTTTTTTGCAGTATCAGTGTTTCAGCTGAGGGCCTGTACTTTGAACCACTTTGCCAGCCCTTTTCTGCTTTGGTTTTTTTGAGATTGGATCTGGTGAGCTACTTGTCTTCACACCGCCATTCTCCTGATTTCTGCCTCCTGAGTAGCTGAGAATTACAGGCATGGGCCCTTGGCTCACAGCTGGATTTTGTTGACTCTGGTTCTGTGGCATATTTAACATTTTCTTCTGAATCCTGTGTTTTCTGTACACTTACAAATAAGAATAGAGGCTTGAGTAGATTCACACTGAGTATCATTGTCTCATAGAATGCAGAGATGAATTCTTTCTTGGGATTTGTGATGTGAACAACTAATGATGACCATTGCCTGTATCCATTCATTCATTTAGGGATTGGAAAATAGTTTATTAGAAAGTTTATCACATATTTATTAGACGTAAAACCTGAGTAGGAAGAAATTCTCCCCTTTCAACTGAGGAGTAGTTCACATAGTAAAGGCAGAGTATATACTAGAGTATTTTGTGTTTTTGCCATTTTCAAAGGAAAATGGCCACTTTCCTCTAAAAGTTTTGACCAGTGAGATTTATTTTGGTATAGTTATGAACTGATGGATTAAAATTTTTAATTCTGTTGTAGTTATTATTTGTGCTCATTCTCTAAAGTTTCCACTATTAGCCAATGAGTTTGTTTGAGTTGGTTCTTTTGAGTCCTTCTGACATATCTTTATACAGGTTTAGGATCCCTATGTGAAATGCTTGAGACCAGCAGTGTTTCATATTTTGGGTGACTTTGGACTTGGAAATATTTGCATGTACTGAGTGGGATGTTGTGGTTGAGACCTAGTCTAGTCATGAGGCTGTATATTTCTTACACACTTTGTGTATGTGTAATGTGAAGGTAATATAATACAACATTTTTAGTGTTCCTGTGTTAACATTTTTTATTAGCGTATATTAATTGTAATAAATAATGAGTTTCATTATGACATTTTAAATACACATATGTAACGTACTCTGATCATGGTCACTCCCATTCTCCTCACTTGCCTCACTCCACATCCCATTCGTCTCTTTCCTCTTTCCTTCTAGTCCCCTTTCTGTTTTTGTGTGTGTGTGTGTGTGCACGCACGTGTGTATGGTTTTTTTTGTTTGTTTGTTTAATCTAGATAGTGCACCTGCATTTTGACTATGTCTTGCCTTGTAAGGTCAGGTTGTCGAATTTCATGTGTGGCCTAATATGGGTGCTCAAAGTTTTGGATTTTGGATTAGAAATGCTCACTCTGCAGTAGTTGCTGGCTTGTTTGAGGTCTGGAATGGTAAAGTGCTCTTCCCCAGGACTAAAAACCAGCCATTCATTTGAAGTTTTACTGGGTAGTGCTGTTTGGAGATGACAAACCGGGTGTAGGTGTGCTCTTTGCAAATGCATTGATATTATTGAAAGGCATTTTCAGTGGATAGAATTAGGAACTTTGATTTTAAAGAAAAACATCACCGTTTTTTTATTACTATTTAGTTTTGGTGGACATGGGGTTCGAACTTAGGACTTTGTGTTTGCAAGGCAGGCACTCTCCTGCTTGAGCCCTGACTCTGTCCATTTTTATTCTGGTTGTCTTTGGAGATGGGATCTAGCAAACTATTTGTCTGGGCTGGCCTCGAACTTCAGTCCTCCTGATGTCAGCCACACAAGTAGGTAGGATCGCGGGCGTGAGTCACCAGTGCCCGGTTTCCATCATGAATTCTTTACAGTTAAATGGTACCATTGGTCCTCTGTATCTGTGCGTTTGGTATGTGGGGATTCAATCAAAAATATTCAGAAAAACCTTGCATCTGTACTGACCACATTTAGACATTTTCTTCTTATTCCTTATATAATGCATTGTGAGAAATGATAGCACATTTATTAGGTGTTACAAGTAATCTAGGGATATTTTAAAGTATGTAGGAATATGTGTACATAGGTTCCTTGCAAATACTACTTTTTATCCATGAGCAGTTACGGATATCAGTCTCTGTATTACAGAGATTTTACTTAATCTTACGAGTCTTATACCCTCACTAAAAATCTCTGTTTGAGAATATCAGTGCCAGTACTATCACTGAAAATACGAATAATACAAATAAGTGTTTCTTTTTCTTATTTTGTTCTTTGAGACAGGGTCTCTCTGTGTAGCCCAAGTTGGCCTCAAACTCATTAAGAGCAGTATGGCCATAGACTGTATATCACACTAGAGTCTTACCAATTGAGATGGTTTGTCTTCTTTGTTTAGGCTATCCATGGAGTGTGTGTGTGTGTGTGTGTGTAGAGAGAGAGAGAGAGAGAGAGAAGAGAGAGAGAGAGAGTTGTTTCCTTTTAGTATTCTGTGTTCAGTGAGATTGAAATATACAGTAGAGTCATTAATGTTCCAGTTTCATCCAAAGTGCTAACCAGGCTGGACCCTGCTTACCTTCTGAGATCAGATGAGATGGGGCACATTCAGGGTGGCATGGCCATATGGCACCCCAGTTGTGATTGGAGATGTGATGCTATATGTGAGATAAAAGTCCCTTGCCTTTAACTTTTTTAGATTTTTTTTTTTTGTTTTCAGGAATACTGTTTTTTTATCTTCTGGTACCACTAATAGCAACATTATCATTTTAATTTGTAGATGGATTCTTACCAGGAATTACAAAGCTCTTGCCAAAGGAACCAGAGGCAGCACATCTGGTTTCCTGAATATTGTGATGGAACTGAAAAAATGCTGCAACCACTGCTATCTGATTAACCTCCTGAAGAAATGAACGGGAAAATGGACAGGAGATTCTTTTGGTATGTAGTTCCTCTTGTTTATAATTATTTTCTCAAAAGCATTTTAGTTTCTGTACATGAGTTTATCAAAATGTTCTTTTTCTTCCTTTATCTTTCAAGAAGCATCAAAAGAAGCTTTAAAAACAGATAAGAAAAGCCAGGTGTGGTGGCACATGAATAATCCCAGTACTCAGGAGGGAAAGGCAGGAGGATTGAGAGTTTGAGGCCAGCGTGGGCAACATAGTGGGGACCCTATCTCAAAACAAACAATATCTGATGAGAAAAGTTAAATAACTAGGAAAAATCTGGAATGTATAGATAAAGGAATGTATCAGCAAGTATGTATTTGAATGATTAGAGTATTTTTTAAACCTTCAGTCCCTGGTGAGGAGCAGCGGGAAGCTGATTCTCTTAGACAACTGTTGACAAGACTTCGAGAAAGGGGGAACAGAGTCCTTATCTTCTCTCAAATGGTGAGAATGTTGGATATCCTGGCTGAATACCTGACAATTAAGCACTATCCTTTCCAGGTAAGGTGGTTTAATAATTGGACTCACTTTGCACTCTTTATTTCTCTGTTGAATAATTTGCTTGTTAAAGTAGAGTATAAAAGTTTTCTTGTTTTAAAAGGATTGAGATTAAGGTGTTCAGAGGGTCTCAGTTTTCACTTCTATTTCTTTTCTTTTTTTTTTCTTCATTTTTAAATTATTGTTGACTGGGGGTCCATTATAAATTTACCAAAATTCTTACAATATATCATAGTTCAATTCACCTTCTCCATCATTCTCCTTTATTACCCCTTCCCTATTCTGGTATACAGGTCGCATTTGTCCATTTGTATACATGAGTCCGTAATATTTTCACTATATTTACCTCCTACACTTTCCTTAATCCTCCCCTCCCACTGGTGCCAGCCTCCAGACAGGACCTGTTTTACCTTCTTGTTCTCCATTTGTGAAAAGAGATGTTTTTTGATAGCTGTATAAGGAATTTCATTAGTTGAGTATACATACCACATTAACTCTAGATTGAACCTAAGGATGCTGACATTGAACCACTTTTGACTTGGAATTTGATGAGACCTAATATGGTGCAACATGATATAGTAAGTAATAATTTCAACTTGTATAATTACAAAAATTTGAAAAATGCTATGGGACCCAGATGAGTAAGTTAAGTTACTCTTTTGTTGGAGCAGATCTGTGAGGAGGATGGAATTCATGGGATGTTTTGAAAACTGGAGTTAACATTTGAAGTGTAATTCTTTCCATGTCTTCAGGCTATGATGGCAGTCTAGGTCATGTGGATCTTGTTTAGAGGTCATTGTTTTTAAGAGGTCATTGGGCAGATGAAGAAAGAATTGGGCTCAGGCCAATTGTTAGATGATGGCACCTGTGCCTGATCTGAGGGCCTGTGCCTGCTCTGCAAGGTCTTCCCTTGAGCCAGGCCCCAGCACTAGACAGTGTCTCACCTATCCAAGTCTATAGTTTAAAGTAGAGGAAAGCAGAGGAACCTGATTCTAGAAGCCCGAATCCTGGAAAGAAAAGAGTGTTATGTGTTATGTGTTCCTTATGTGTCATGTATGTCTGTCTGTCTTGTCTCATGTGTCCAGCTTGACTCTGAAGCTGGGAATGGAGTGAGTAGGATACTTGAAATCTTTGGTCACCAAATGAAGTGGTGATAACCTCCCTCTTGTCTATGGAATTGTCGGTTGCTTAGTTGTCTTCTATGGGAGAGTTCCTTTAGCATAGTAATACTTGCTAATACTTTGACTTGTCACCTAATGTTTTTATATAGTGTTTTCCTTTTTACATTTACTTTTAAAATTATTTTTTCTCTTTTAACTTTGATATTAGTTACATTACGTCTGTATCTGAGAGACAAATTCCGAGTCAGTAATTATCTCATATGAAGGCCAGCTTCAAGAGTCACTAACAGGTTGTCTTTCAGAATACCCGAAAGGCATCGTTACATTTATGAGACCTGGGCTGTCTTGTATGCAAAAAGACCGTGAACTCTCAATGCTTGTTGGTTTTCCATTTCTAGGCAGTATGGTGTCTTGTACATTAAGACTCCATCACTCTTGTCTCTAGGGAGAGCTGAGGTGCTTCAGGTTTCTCACATCTAATCAGTAACTTTTAGATACTTGTCTTAATGTCTTTTATTAATGGGAATACTTAATGGAAGGCATTTAGGTTTTATGATTTCAAATATAGGACGTGAACCTTTTAAAAGTATCTTTGGCTCAAGTAACTCGTTAGAGTTGTAGTCAGTGAGAAATTGAAAAGGACCTTTCCATGTGTGAGTCATCTTGAATTTGGGGGATGGTGGGTCTGGTGGCAGAGCTCTGGTGAGATGTAGGTGGTCCTCCTGTAGATTGCTTGCACTAGCCAGTTACCACTCGGGTCAGTTTTAACTTTGTAAAATAGGTATTTTGTTCATCTCAAGTGGTGAGTGTAAGGGGATGAAATCTGAAAATGGTTTTAAATAGAAATGTTTTACGTGTATAGCACTTAAGTCTTCAGTATTTATGTGTATCACATGGCTTCCTGTGGTGACACTTCATACCTAGAACTGACATACACTCTAACAAAAGGACTGAATGCACTGCTGAATGCCAAAGGCTGTTTGAGTTGATGTAGTTTGGGGGCTTGAACACTTTATTCTGATTTCAGTGTAATTTTTTAAAAAGCTGGCATGTATGATCAATTAATTTTAACATTCAGTGTTACAGCAAGATATTTTCTGAACAAAATGATGTAAATAATTTTTGTTTTTATACCACTTAATAGTGATACTTCTAGTCATTATCTAGGAAGCATCATTTTTTGTAGGAGCTAATTACTATACTGGTGACCAAGTAGTACTGTTCCCTAATCTTATAGGATGAGGTTTCATCTTTCTCCTTGTACATTTTGGCAGCCATTCTGATCCTTGGATAAACCCAGACAGCCCTATGAATCAGACGCTTCTGACCTTGAGCTTGTAACTGGAAGCTCGGATCACGAAGGCTGTGCTGTTTGTGCATATCTCCTTCCTGACATTTTGCCAGTGCCTTCCAGTTATTTTTTACTCAGCAGGTGTTTGGGTGATAAAGGTTGCAAGCCTGGTGTTCTATTCTGAGCGTAGCTGATCTTCCTACCTTATGATTTTCTTGTGGTTTATTTTTACAGCGTCTGGATGGTTCCATCAAGGGAGAAATCCGAAAACAGGCGTTGGATCACTTCAATGCAGATGGGTCTGAGGTACACTATGCATGAGTTTCTTATTTTTGCAACTTGGGTTATATATCCAGGGGAAAGCTTAGCGTATTCTGTTTCAGAAACATGTTATAGTACAGTTCTTCTGTCTTGAGAAGAGATGCCTTCTGTCTTGTCACTCTGACAGAGAGGTGCCTTGTCTGTCATTCTTATTTGGCTCCCTTGGTCTGGATTAATGACACTTCTCAGTTGTCTTCTAGCTATTAAATTCATGGCCTCGGGAGAGCAGCAAGGGAAAAGAGGAGGAGATAGCTGGCCAGTAGGATTATTTTGAGATGTATGTTAAATCGGAAGGTTCTGATTCTGTGCTTTTCTGGTGACTAAGGATTAAAAATGTGTTTACCAGGTCTCAAATGTGTTTGGCTCATGGTGTGATGTGGCTTAATGTTCTTGTTCTGGTTACATCATCTTAAAGTTGCTGAATGCTCCACAGGGATTTGGCATTGTACAGTATTTTGTTTTGGATAAGAACTACTTAAATTGGAAATTCTGATTAGTAGTTTTGTGCATACCAAAATTGTCATATAAAAATGGAATTTAAGAGAAACGGGAAGAAGAGCATTAATGTAAATGAACTTTAACACTGTGTAGAGGGGAAGGAGCAACGGGAGAGCCCAGAAGTAAACAGGAAGTGTTTGGAGCGAAGGCTTTGTGCTTTTCAAAGAACTTTTAAAGACTCTTCTTGATGCCTCTTCTGTTATTTCACAATGATTTACAAATAGTCCTATTGTGAGACAGTAGTCTGGTAGCCTAAAAGTTTACTTCTCTTGAAGGGGCTTTGGGCATTCGTCTATTCAGGACCAATGCTCTGAATCGTTAAGCGCGTGAAGAATTGAATTGCTGATGACATTTGTCATCACCTAATTCCCATCCCTCTTTTTTTACTTTTTTTTTTTTTTCATTTTTCTTTTATTATTCATATGTGCATACAAGGCTTGGTTCATTTCCCTCTTTTTCTTCTATATTTCCTCAACTGTCACCTGACAATGATTCCAAATCCTACTTCGTAGTTTTCCTGTGAGGATTACATTTGGTTAATAGAAAGCACTGATGTAGAAAACTCTAAATAAATGTCAGCTGTTTTTATTATATAGCAGTTGCTGAACGTGATTTTTGTGTTCTCTGTTCTTAGCTAAAATATAGTATGAATTGAGTGTTTCATGTTGTCATTTCTCAGAAAAAAAAAATAAACTTGCATTTTGCATAGTTCTCATTCAGTTCCACTCCCTGTCATGGCTATATATAAATTCAGATTCTGTACCATTTTCTATAGTCTTTAAAAATTAATTTAAAAAAGTAAACATTTCCTATTGGGAGGAAATATAACATGCCTATTTAGTAAGTTTGGAAGAAAGTGAAGAGTACCTAGAAGAAAAATTATATAAAACTTATCCAGAGACAACTTGCTTTTCATATCATGTGGGTATATTTCATTCATACTGATTAAACCATTTATTTTTTATGTTCTCCTAATTGGGATCATGCTGCATATAATTTTGTTGTAACTTTTTATTCAACATAGTATGAAAAATTTCCCCATGTCATGTAATTAAGAGCTTACAGAATTTTTATTTCTAGTATTTTTTAATGCTTGTATTACTTTTTTCTGAATCTTTTTTTTATTGTTGAATACAGCTATGAAGGGATGAGTATTTTAAAAACATGTTTGGTACATTTTATGACTTTTACATTGAGCTTCATAATTTTTTTAACATTTGTCAGTTCCATAATAGATTTGAGCAGCATATACTTTATATTATCTTTGGCACAGAGTGACATTGAAAATGGTTGATGTAATTATTCAGACCCCTGACTTTGTTTTTGGGTGGCTTATCCTAAACGGCCACTGTTTATTTTCAAGCCTCTCTTTGGAGATGTGTTTCTCCCAAGGGTCACAGACTGCCTTGATACCTGTTGACAGTCTTTATTGGAATTCAAGTTCTTGCAAGGCAGCTTTCTTCTTTAGTGTTTTTATGGCCAAATGCTGTTGAATGGCAGTGTAAGAACATGGAGACTTTTCCATTGCATTTATATGTGTATGCCAAACCCATTTAGCAAGCTCCAACTCCAAACTACCACTTCTTGAGTGCTAGTTTTGTACCCAGAAGGCATCAGCTTTTGACATACATGACCAGATTGTCTAGAAACACTAGTCTTTTGGCCTTTTTAATCTGACTTACATAGTTTATTTTTTTTCCCCCATCCATGTATTTTTCTGAACACTCAGATGAAAGCAGGTATACTGTGGTTGCCCAGTTTCTTTTATTGCTACGGAAACTGGAAGACATTAATGCCTGGGTCTTTTTTATACTCACTGCTCTTTAACCAAACCTGTTCAGGATTTCTTTCTACATGTTTTGTGGTGATTGAGGGTCTTGTGCATCTCGGCAATTGCAATATGTGATCTGTTTAGTGTATTGTTTCTATGTTCCTCACCCATGTAACACATGGAAGAACATTTACACCAACTGCCTTACACGGCACAATCCACCTTTCCTCAGAAAATAAATCTGCCTAACTTGCTGGAACACTTCCCCGTGATAATTTGTCTGGCTTTTTTTGGTTAACTTCTTGTATAAACCAGTTTTAGCCAGGAGATTGCACTAATTCTCTTGCTTCTGTCGCCTTATTGGATTCTACTTTACTCTCTTGTTTGCTGCTCTGATCTTAATCAAATGAAAATTCCCTCTGCCATCAAGTCCTTGGTCTTTTAGCCTCCATAAAGTTTGTCCATCATATCTCACTTTTCTTCACGCCTGCAGGGGTTTCCAGGTGTGAGGGCTTTATTGGACTATGAAACTGTTTCTGAGAAGGCCACTGCATAAAGTAGTCTATTGCATTGTGTACAGGACTTCTGCTTCCTGCTCTCGACAAGGGCTGGTGGCCTGGGAATCAATTTGGCTTCAGCGGACACAGTTGTCATCTTTGACTCTGACTGGAACCCCCAGAACGACTTGCAGGCACAAGCCCGAGCCCATAGAATTGGTCAGAAGAAGCAGGTAAGTGGGGAAAGGTTTTTAGATAAGACTTTGGGATTTTAGTAAGACAGGTTTATCCAATCCTTTAAGGATGCTTGTAAAATTCTTATTTTCCCACTGTTTTGCTTTCATTTTCCCTAAGTGTCAATTTATGTTTTATTAACTAGTACACAGAAGATAAAATGTCTTTGGTTCAAGATGATCCTAGTAAGGACTCTTAACCTTTCATTATTTGAAAAGTACATCAATAGTGATTTTCTGTGCATTCACCAAGAAAGAGGTATAGGAGAAGACAGAGTTGAAGTTTTCTCTGTTTTAACTCAGAGTAGTTACTGAATTAGTCTAGCATTGTTCAGGATGATCTGTTCTTACTGTGCATGAAAGTCAGTAGCTCTGAAGTACACAGAGAACGACATGCTGGTTTCTTTTGTTACTGAATCTCAGTCTGCTTTAGTATTGGCTAACTCCTAAGTTTCATACATGGCCAGTGATCCAGGTTTTGTAAAACTTTCTCTCAGTGAAACTGATTATTCTTTAGTGAAATTTTTGTAATCAGGTAAAGCATAATAAAAGTAAAAGCAAGTGTATTTAAGAATGTAACCTGTTCTAGATAACAAAAATATTACATCTACACATGCTGCCTTCTTGGATAGATAACTGATGGTCATTTATGGCAGTAGAGAACAAATTATATTTATTTTCTCCCCTTTTAACAGGTAACTTTTGTCTTTGATCAGGCATAAGCATAACATTTCCTTTTCCTACAGGTAAACATTTACCGCTTAGTCACAAAGGGGACTGTGGAAGAGGAGATCATAGAACGGGCCAAAAAGAAGATGGTACTGGACCATTTGGTGATTCAGCGCATGGATACCACTGGCCGAACAGTCCTGGAAAACAACTCAGGAAGATCCAAGTAAGTGCCAGAAAGATTGGGTAGGTAGGCAGAATCAAATTGATATATATCAACATTTTATATAATTCTGACAGGATTCTCTACCACAGACATTATTAGTCCATTCATTACTTGGCAAAGACCAGACCATAGCCACAAGAAGAATGCACTTCCATTTTTTTTTTCCTGCTTCTTTTTTTTTTCTCTGTTGGCCCCTCTGCCCTCTGCTCATGTGCTCTCACTCTTTCTGCTCCCTCCCTTGTCTCTGCTTTTAGCTTCTCATGTGATGTGACATATGACACATGACACAGTGGGAGCAGTGGACTGCACTCATTTTGGGTTTCAGCCCAGCACAGTGTTACCTGTGGCTTTTTAGCAGTGACTCCATTAGACAAAATTGGAAGCTTTTTTTTTTTTTTTTTTAATAGTAAAAATATTTGTGCGGCGATTGTTAGGCTTTTTCCTATTTGAAAGAAGGGTATAGAAAAAAAGTAGTGGGTTTACTTTTTGATCAGATTGTTGACTGCTGCTGTGTGTTCAAGAATGAAAGTCAAATTTG